GAAAGACTGAAGGCCATTATAACAACAGAGGGAGTTTACTTTGTACGCGCCAAAGGAATCCCATCACCCGAGTCGATTGTATTATTAGTGAAATATGCAGATTTGTTTGAATGCCAGCCTCTCTTCGGTGGTACGTAATCGCTATTATCATTGCCTATTAATTATTATAAAACAGCTGTTGTTCGCGTTGAAAATGGAGTATTCTTTACTTTCTAATGTAGTATTCTTTACTTTCTAATGCTTTCTTTATATTCTTATATAAAGAATACTAATAAGGAGTGTTTTACCAGATATAAAGGTCCGTGCATGTGACCAAATGGGCTCATTCTATTGGCCTAATAACTCATTAATTATGTATGAGTTTTTTAATGTATAATAACTTAGTGATTGTTTTAGATGTTGGTGATTGTCCATCGTTAACTTGTTTTAATTCTTATTTCAGATGGTAAACATTATATCGAACTTGTAATGAATGCTGATAACAGCACGGTGCCGACGCCTTCGAAAAACCCCAGCAAACGACCACGTGTTCGATGTGACGATCAAAAAATTGCGCAAAAGGTTAGTACACACCTCCTGTTAGGCTCCCCCTTTTTTATTCCATGTGGGATASGCTYRGAAATCATATACGAGCATGCGTAATGACGGCAATGCTTTTTAATRCGAGAATCGCTGTATTGTTGATTTATTGATACCTTTTTTGGCTCCAGGTCTCGCAAAAAATCAACTACTCCAAGAACTTGTACGACGAAGTGAAGCAAACCGTTACACCAGAACCCAAAGAAACGCTCTCGCCGAGCGCGTCATTCGACAGAGATTAATGACGTCATGAAAGAAGAGGCTACGTCACCAGCAGGTTGGTCACCATAAAGACTATTGGCGTCATAATTGGATTTGCCATGCTTCGTCAATAATAATGACGTCATAGTTGTCACTCAAGTGACGTCATCRTTAAGCACCATTGGAATTTTTGACGTCATTGTCATGTTACTTAGCATTGTGCTAATGACGTAATAGTAAGATTAAGGACGGTGGAAACTTGTGACGTCATCATTTTGCATCATTTTGCTTTGACGTCACTTCTCAGCAAGTCACCATGGAGACGCATCACCATGGAAGTGCATTGACATTTGCATTAAACTTTTTGAGTCAGAAATAATAGTTTCCAAAGATGAATCAATACACGACGAATTCTAAAAAATACATCGCTGCGCTGGCTCAAAAATACCAAGAAACGAATGATTTTTATACAATTATAATTAAAAAGCAAACGATCTTAGGCATAGTTTCTTTTCAAATTTCCCTTGAAGCCACGGCCGAACGAGAAACTGTTGTTTTAGAAAACAAATTCATCAGTCAAGAGAACAGAAAAAATATCTTTAGACCGACTCCATAATCCCTATTTTTTTTTTTCTTCTCGTATTTTGTTGTTGCTGTTGTTGTTGTTGTTGTTGCTGCTGCTGTTGTTGTTTTTCGTGTAAACTCCATTCAGCAATCGAACCAACATCTAAGACGTTCAAACAGCACAAATATAAGGTCGCACAAGATGAGTCAACATTTCTCGTTCAGCTTGAWGCTCAGGTTGCCTTGTTATTAGAATTTGCTAATAACGTTAGCAAGAAATGTTTTTTTTGACTTATTACACAGTAATATTTTAATTTTATAAAATATTTCTCTTAATTGCAGTGTTTTAAATTGCAATTTTTAAAGTGTTTGCAGTGAATTCTAAACAAATTCTAAAACAAGGCTTTTTGTCCGCTGTGTCGATGTGCAAGATTGTTTAAAATTTAAGAATTAGATATAACGGATTAAAATTTTAGCGGATTATATTTGCATCAAATAAAACATAGATTAATAGTTTTTATATAAAGATTCTTAAAATTTCGTGAAAAGTTGATTACGGGATTGTTCAATGGTAAGGTCATGAGCAAAAGGTCAAGGGTTTGGACCTGGCGGGTTTGAAAAGTAAAAATATATGACTTACGATTTTTGTAAAGCGCGCTATGTGAAATTTTTTCAGAAAAAGTAGATAATGTTCGAATTACCCATGTTTAGAATTACAAATGTTTAGAATTCACTGTATTTAGAAACAACTGCTTTAGTTTGTAAAATAATCAAAGTATTTTGCAAAATTTTGGTATAGATATTCGTTGTACTTGTAAATAAGATCACAATAGGCCAATGAATTTGCTTTTTTCTACGACGTTTGTATCTTCTTTTTTCTGCATAAGATTGCATGTATTCCGCCAAGATTCTACCAAAGTTTGTGTCATGTTCTGGTCAGTTATTCTATGTTGGAAGCTACACAACTCAAACAATGCGCTTCGCTTCAATAGTCTCCTTCACGGTTCCCTGCGCCATCTTGAAAGTTACCTTGTCTTTACATTAAAGCGAGACGACCAATGAGCGCGTAGTGATAACTAATCCTTTTTTCTCAACCATAGGTAAATATTTACAGGCTTCTATCATTGCACGCTCAACGGTCGTTTTGCTTCGATGCAAAGTCACGGCTTGCTTTCAAGATGGCGGAGGGAACCGTGAAGGAGACTATAGACTATAGATCCCTTTCAATTCATGGGAATCCAACAGCTCTTACTGGAGGACAAACAATGGATTCTTGTTCCCAAAAGGCCATTTTTTCTATGTGTTCTCGAGATGAAGCTTCTTCGACGTTATGTCTTCCTCTATGCCTACACGGATGAKGAMTTTGGAAAATGTCTATCTTCACCCASAGTAGTTCGTTCCCTCAGCGCCTTTATATTCTTCGTTTTCAAGTTACGTCCCAGCGASCATCTTGGAGGAACTTCAACAAAGGATTTCTCAATAGTATCTATTGCCTAATCCTCCAACATAGCTGCCGGTCTCTTTTTATCTTTTGAATCTCAGGGGAATGGTTGAAAACGATCAATTGAGGAATAAAAACAATTCAAGTACGTGAGCACTCATTTATTCGCGGCTCTCAAATAATGGCCAAGGTCTCAATACACCATTGACCAACCAATGTGTAGGTCATCACGATGCTTGTGGGGACCTACACATTAGTTTAATTGAC